TTGAGACAAGATATTGTTTAAGAAATAATATATAGAGAGAATCAAGTCGTGAAATAACAAAAAAAAGTACTGGCAGTTTGTTACCAGGTTTTTATATCACAATTTGCAACACAAATACAGACAATATATGACTTAATCCTTACAAGCTTTTGGAGGAAATGTTACAAGTGTTTCTGGAACATTACAAGCTTTTGGAGGAAATGTTACAAGTGTTTCTGGAACATTACAAGCTTTTGGAGGAAATGTTATAAGTGTTTCGCGAAACATTACAAGCTTTAAGAAAATATCAAGCTCCCATATTGCAATTTAAAAGAATTATTAAAGTGAAGAAAAAAAAACACCAAATACAGAAAACTGTTTTTTTTTCAACAAATATTACTTGCAGTATAATTTATTCATTCATTCATTTTCTTGTCGATTAGTTTATTAATCCGGGGTTGCCACCGCGGAATGAACCGCCAACTTATCCAGCAAGTTTTTACACAGCGGATGCCCTTCCAGCCGCAACCCATCTCTGGGAAACAACCACAAACACATTCACACACACACTCACACACTACGGAAAATTTTGCCTACCCAATTCACCTGTACCGCATGTCTTTGGACTGTGGGGAAAACCGGAGGACTCGGAGGAAACCCACGCGAAGGCAGGGAGAACATGCAAACTCCACACAGAAACACCAACTGAGCCAAGGTTCGACAGCGACAGCACAACCTACTGCGCCACTGCCTCACCTTGCATTATAATATACATCGCAAATAATTTCATTTGGAAATAAACACTTAAGGGGGATGTTTTTTTTTTTACTTTTATTTTTTTAATTATAAAGTTTTTTTTTTTAAGGTTTGGCATTTTTGCCTTCATTATAATTGGACAGTAGATGGTTTATATAGTGAAGTTGTAGAGAGAGAGAGGGGGACAGAATTAAGAAAGGTTCAGGAATTAGTTGCTCTATATTTCAGCAGATAGGCCACCAGTCTATTGGCACAGACAAACGTTAAAAGTTTTTTGTTCAGTTTTTAGAAGATGTATAAAGATCTTATGATCTATTTTACACTTTATTACTATAAGCCTCATACTAAAGTGCCTTATAAAATACAGCAATGACTGTATTTCACTGTATGCTCTATGACTAATCCTGTTATAGTGTTCTGAGGAAGACCTGCTTACTGGAAGTGGTTTTATTCACATGACTTCATTTATTTACCTGAAAACCCTTGCGATAAAGCTGTAAAAACAAAGACAAAGAGTATTTTCATCTGTCAAGAAGAGAAAATCTGAGATGGCTGCTCCCCAACGTGTATCACTACCCAGAATGCATTACTGTAGCGCTGCAATCCCAGTGTTTGGTTCCTGTGATTCCTTCCCAATGTAAACACCGTGTGGAGGTCATGCTCCACCCCTCTTTGTTTACAAATCAGCCTCATTACCTCAGCAACACATCCAACAGCACAAACAATGTTTAATATGACATGGCGCTTCAGCGTCTGCCTTCAAACTCGACACGGAGGCGTCCAGATGCATTTGATTTCACTTTTACAAGGGTTCTAAAGGGTTCCAGAACTCTCCTGTCTCCTGAATCCTCCTGTCCAGTGCCCCTTATCTAACCCTAAACACTTTCCAACTAAGCCAACCTTTCCTCAACCTCCACAACCTTGAACATCTTCTCTACTAGTACAATATGCAAATGCTGCGTCATGCTGATATTAAGCCATTGGGCCATGTTTATGCCGTTTGGCAGAGGAGATAACAGCAATAGCGTTTCCTTTTTCTGACCTAAACAAGACTGATGGTTCTGGAATCGGTTCACTGTTTTTTGTTTTTTTTCTTCCTTTGCAAAAGATGAGCGGATAGGAGAACAGAAGATCGGAGAGGATCTTGGTGGTCGAGGCCTGGGCAGGGCTCGCAGAGGAGCAAGGGAGTGATGGAGAACGTGTTTACTCTGCCTGTTCTGTCTGTTTATGTATCTTCTATCTTAATGAACGGCGCATTATTTCTCTCAGGAAGAGAATTTCAATGATGCTAAGTTCTATTTTATAGTCTATAAACACACTTAAGTCTCTGAAGTTGCAGTCGGGCAGGGGGCGCGGCGGACGTCGCTTGTGGTCTGACACGGCTCTAACCTGCTTTAAATCTCAGGCTTTATAGTAAACAGCTCTGGACATCTCTGCAGGGCTTTCCACACACAATTTATTTTATTTACTTCAGTATATTTCTGCCAGAGAGGCCCTTGAGATTTCACAAAGCCTATCTGGTAACCAAGGAGGAACCAAACAACAGCACTGAATCACTCTGAAGCTATTGTGCTGTTTTGCTTGGGAAACGGCCAGTTTGGATGGAGAGCCAAGGGTCTTGGAGTGCAACAGAGTTCAACGAGCCCAAATTAGTAAAATCCGAATGACTGGGTAAACATGTATGAATGAGAAAAATTAGGGATGGATGAAAGTAAAAATCACCCTTACTCATAATATCACATCAGATAAATCAGCGCTATTTATCTGAAGCTGGTTCAGCGTGTAATCTAGGTGTCATGAGTTCATTCACTAAAAGCCTGAAAGATTCATTCAGACAGCTGAAAACTCTCAGTTATATCCTTTTCTTAGTCATGCCAGAGTGGCTACTTCAATTCTGCCTTTTACAGAAAATGCAAAAAGAAAACGCTAACAATGCATTCTGTCCAGATGTGTCCACTTCAGACAAAAGTGCCTGACCGCCTTAAACCTGGACCTGAGACAGGACAAAATAAACACAGCCATGGAAATCTGTGAATAATACTTTGGGAAAAAAGACACAATGTGACGCTGGATGATACTGTTAGGCTCACGGACAGATGGCCGATATATAACTGTTAAAGTGTCAAGTAATAATCATGGAGGTTCAACATGTTCAGAGTGATTCACAAAAATGGTCTTACTAAATGTTGTCTATTACTCAACATCAGTTATAAAACAAGCGTGTCAAACCTTTAAAACAAATATTATAAACCTATAATTTACTTCATGGTAATAAAGAGACTACACAATGGTCTCAAACTAATATTCAACTTCATACTCAACTGTCAAAACAACCAGCAAATTTGGCAGTGTTTGCAAAACCACCATTTTTAGTGTCTCCCTTATAACAAACGCAGCAGCTGTTTGGTCTTTCTAAAGTAATTATGAACATCTCAGTGTGATTGAGTTAATGCTTTATGATTATGAATATATTAAACAGGGTAACCAAAAAAAATATAAAACCTACCTGTGTCTTCTGATGCTGTTAATCTGATAGCAGGAGAAAGGAAGAGTGGACCTTTAGGATGAAGGGTGGCTTTGATACTGCCTAAAAAAAATGGACAAAAAAATTACCAAAATATGTTATGAACAAAAAAGTAAATACACAAGTTATATATATATATATATAATGGGACTAAGTCGAAAAAGAAAATGAATGAATGAAATTAAGCAATTTGAGCACAGTAAACCCAATAAATGAAGAGAACTCAAACCAGCTGTATTGGTACTAGTAAAAAGTAATCAATATGAGTACTGTGAACTTACTCCATTTAATTTGCAGTAATGAGGTGTTTAATTATCTCACTGCCTTCAACACTGAGTTCAAAACTCTTTTCAAATGTGTAGCATTAACTTGCCGTAAATTTTGAGTTAACTACACTCATTTCATTTGATAAAGTTTACTGTTGGGTTTTACAGTATATAAAGGTTCTGAATCAATTGAAGGTAAGGTTTGGGTGAACTTTCCCTTTAAATTTCATTGTTTATTTGCAGAATTGTGTTCTGGTGGAAATGCTTTTGTTTAAAAAAACTAATATTATCTGGAGCCAGTTGCATAAACATGTTTATATGCAACAAATTTAACTATGTTAAGACTCTTTTTGTACAACCTCGACCAACTAGCAGTTATCTAGTGAAAGGTAATCAGCCTTGGACTAAACATTTTTTGTTAAAAAAAATTACAGTTATAGTTTTGAAACAAATAAATAACTTTGCAACCGGCTTATGGTAGGTAATGCAGTAAGACATTTTAAGAAGTATATTTTATACAATATGAACACTAGGGTATGTTTTAAAATCAAAAATTATGTTTTGGAATATATATTATTAAAAATGCTCTACTCTTATTGCTAAAATAAGCATTTATTTAATCCAAAAACTCCTACTAAGTGCCAGTTTTTATGCTTTAAACAACAAATACATAACAAAAGAAGAAACATTATAAGGCAAAGGTGAAAAAAGGCTAAGTAATAAAACTAATACAAAAAAAAACAGAAATAAATAAGTAAACCAATAACTATATTAATACAGGAATAAACTTTACATTAATCAAACATTTCGAAAAAACATTCACGAATGCACAGTTTTAAAGAACTATGCACAGCTAGAGTTTTAAAGCCAATGATAAACTTCTGGTGAAAGCTTAATGCGACTTAATTTCACAAGGTTGTTTTACAGCATCAATGCTGTAATATAATTACAATACATTCAGTTAAGACTTAAGCATTCATTTAGTTGTTCAAATTGTCCATCATTAGCAACAGACTATTGCAAAAATTCCATTGAAAATACTGGGGGAAAATAGAATTCATATTTTAAAGACATGGCGGGGGGAATTAAATTTAATGCAGTGCTTCTTGTCCGATCTGAGACCCACTTCGTATATCTAACAGGCAGTGAAGATCGCTGACTTTTAAAGAAATTAGATCTTAAACGTGACAATTTTGTAATGGAGAGACAGTTCGCCGGAAGCCTTTAGGCTGCCTGACTGAAAATTAAAAGTCCATGTGCATATAGCCCATTGCTTTTAATAGTACTATGTGTTATAGTACAGAAGTTATTTTTCACCTCCTTAGATAACATTGTCTTTTGTAAGAAATGTTACACTTGTAAATAATAAACTTAAAAAAATAAATAGATTAATAACAAAACTAGTGGCGTATAAAAACGTAAATGATCGACTTCATTAAACTTTGCCTATTAAACTAAGCCCACCATTAAACTTTGCCGCTATTTTCCTCCCAACCGCATCGAGGCGCTTATGTGCGTTTGACCGGACAGTTTCTCATCTCGCGCAGGAACCGAGGCATCCTTGACAACAATCGCCGGTGGTCTGTTGTTGGCGTCTTAACGCTTTTGTTTACTTTCCTTGATCTTCACAACGTTCATTTTATTCGGATATGTGTATTTGTTAATCTTAAATCCCTTATTTTAACAACTCCTTACCACATCACATAATAAAATTACCTGGAACGGACTATTTGACGCCTCATATCAGTCAAGTGAGTGAAAGTTTTATTAGCTCAGTGTGTTTGCTAACCAATTAGTTGTTAACTAAAACTCTAGATCTGTTGTTAAACCGAATACATCCTCGTAAATAGACGTTGATAAACAGCGCGGCTCGTTTATTTGCTGTTTGTCTGAAATCACTTGCATTACGTTTGATGTTATTGTTTCCTGCTTAAGATTTTTTTCTGTTCACGTTACTTAATATAAGCGTGTTTATTAGATTAATAAACGATGCTGAAATCGTGCATTTGACGATGCAATGTAGCGGAATTTGTAAGGAATTGGTGCTAAGGTAGCACGTCTTGCAGGCCGTTTCTGTCACTTGAGCTGTTCAAACTGTGCAAGTGTTTATAGAAACCTTAGTTTGCACCCAAAATTAATTAAAGAGCTACAATAATTGCAGCTTTTGCACTATTCAAGCAGAGCATGTACATGTAAATAGTAGTTGTAACTTATTCATAGTATCTTGCTGTGCATTTATTACAGGGGTCATTCCCCATGCAAAAGCGGAGGTTAAATGCCTTTGTTTGTAGCACAAAAGTCACAGTTAATGAATCACTAGAACTATTGCGGAAAAACATCATATAATTCAACTAATCATTTTCTCACCATGAAAATAGCCATGGCACCTGGCACAAAACACAAACAGACACCAACTATTGTGGGTTTTAAATCTAGAAACTATTGTCATCTTAAACATCTTTTCTAATGTCATCTAATGTTTGTGTATTTGCAGGTTGTGTTTGTTACTTGACATGCATCTGTAAAGGGGTTGACAAGTTAAGCAAAACATCTAGAGCGGCTCCATGGAACCCAGTAACGATGTTGCGCTTGATATCATCGTTACTAATGTCGTATCAGTATTCAGAACCAGGTGCCATCTAAACCTGCGCACCATCGGCCTGGAAGGGACAAATGTCATCTACAAGCCTGAAGTGGGAGTAAGTAAGCGCTTTGGAGATGAGTTGTTTTAGTCTGGATTCATGTACAATTATCATGGAGAGATTAATAACTGCATTAAAAAGTCATCTGTACCCTATTACCAAATTTGAGAGATAATATTCTGACAGTATGATAACCTTGGATATAAATTTTATGGTGTTGGGATTACTACTTTGTAATATATTTTTTTTAATGCCTTGGTAAAAAAAAAATTATGTAAATATTAGGTAAAGTTGGTTTTATATTCGCACATTCGTTCAGTGACAGCTTTATACATTGTTTACCATGGTACTTTAAGTATTCAGACTGAAATCACATGCAAGTATGACTTTAAAACAACATTAGCACTATTAAATTGACTGTAAACAATAGCCCCTTTCACACAGTGATACCGGTAAATATCTGGAAAATTTCCGGAAAGACTTTACCGGTATATACAAAAAAGCGCTGTTCACACAGGCGAGGACGTTACGGAAATTTTCCGGAAAAGAGCATTCACACATCCATTCCAAAATACCGGTAAATTCTGACATCATTCACCACAAATGAGCTTCAAACGGCTGCGCTAGTATTTGTAAACATTTGACTAAATTACAAACTCTGTGGATGATCAATATTGTGAACAACTTTCGCAGGATCACTTTCGCATATCGAGATGTTCATAATATGTGCGTGTGCAGGTGCTCACAGGCTGTTTCACAGGCACACGCAAAGCTTGAAGGTAAACAAACAACAGCTTATCATAAGCATCTCATCGATGATTATTTACACAGTTGGCATTAAGAAGAACATATAAACGTGATCTGACTAACTTCTAGCAGCTAAATGTGACTGGAAAAATATTCAAAGGCTTTTATTCTCACAAATCGCGCGGACGTAAATGAGTCTGACTATTGTGATTGGCTAAAGCAGACGTCTCCCGTCAGCACGTTCTAGACGTGCGCGCGCTTATTACGGCAATCTTCCTTCTGCATTCACACAGCGCAGCATTCCGGCAAATTGCCGGTAATGTTACAACTTCTCTTTCCGGAAAATAGCCAGAACGAATTTAACGGTATTTTCAAACAGGACCTGTTCACACATACAACCTTTCCGGAAAATTGCCGGCAATTTTCCGGAAAGGTCTGTATGTGTGAAAGGGGCTAATGTTGTACTTTGATGGTTGTTGGCTGCTAATATGATTTCACTATTAATAATTTTTAATGAATACTTTTCTAACCAACTTTACCTCAATGTAAAAAACTACTTTGTTGCATAACCACTGCATTGTTCAGGTTCATAGCATGCTTGGATGTAGGTGCATTAGCAATTTATATGTATATATTTTTCAAATGTTTGCTGAATGGACCCTTTTAGACTGTTATGACACGTTTAACGGTCATCAGCATATAAAATCCTCTAAAGTTTTTAATATTTAGAATTTTTTAAATGAACATTTATATGTATTTCTGTATGCAGTATGTAATCTTTGTCAAATTACAGGAATCAAACTAGATAAATGGATAAAATGTCTTTTACAACACCTGAAATAATAATAAAAACGTACATATACAACGTAAAGAGTATAACAGCAAATTTTACTATTACAAACCACGGTATACCTTGAAACCAGTTATCCTCTCATCTAAATGGACCTCAAAAACCTGGTCTGTGTAATTTTTTATTCAAATAAACCGAACAAGCATTTTCCTTTAAGTTTTTTTTTAAGTCATTTTCCCCTAACTAGCAATGCTAAAAAAATGTGAAATTAAAAAAGGAAACACTGGTAGGATTTTCAGTATTTATTTATTTTTTTTGGATAAAGATTTTAATAACTATTGTTTAATTTAAGTAACAGCTTTTTGCATGCATATGGTTTCAGTTAATACTAATGTTTTGTAAATTTTCTACTTGTGCTCAGTGAATAAGACGATGATGTTTTAAATTGGCAAAGTTCAAAAACACATGCATTATGACATACTGGCCAGTTTACAGCTCAAATCATTCATTTTGTCCATTTAATATTCAACGGGCCAACATTATTATCTGGCAAACTTTTTGTATGTTTAATCTAACTTTGGCACATTTGTAATTATTTTGCCTAGAAAAAAAAGGTAAGCTTATGAAACAGACATTATACAACTTTAATCCATTAAATAGTAACTATGAGTTTGTTGTATCAGCCTTTTTTCGGTCTATAGCCATTGGTGTTAAATTAAAGTAACAGCTGCTAATTATTAATAAATAATAAATCATATGTTTGAATTAATTTTTATTTAAATATCTGACTGTAAAAGTCAGAATTGAATGGATAAGCTTGATGGATACAACTGACAGAAGTAGTGTAAGAATTGAGAAACTGAATTTTGAGATGATTAGCTTGACATCCCACCATGGTGTTTAAAGGTTAAAAATTATGTAATTTTTTAAAAATAAGCAACTTATGTAAGTTTTGTCTTACATAAATTTTGTGACTAATAGTTTACTACAAAATCATGTACACGTGCATGCATGTAAAAAAAAATGTACACTTGTAAACAATTGATGGAATCAGTGTTGTTTTTACCCTCTGCTCGACAACATCAGTATCAGCAGTATTAATCAGTTCATGGCCAATCATTAATGCCTGTTGTTGCTTCTGTCCTGTTTTTCCCCCAGAAAGTTCTGATGAAGCTGCGGAAACCACGTATCACTGCCTCTATATGGTCATCAGGGAAAATTATTTGCACTGGAGCAACAAGGTCTCACTAAACTCTCCCACAACAATCAGCCCAAAATTAGTTTATTGTATTTAAAATAGTCAATTAATAGTCTACACCATTATCGTCTCAGTGTAAAGTACAGTTATAAAAAGTTCAGTTATAGGCATGCATAGAAATTGACAACTAAAACAACAGTCTACAAGGCTGCATGTGTAAATGGGCATTCTTTTGACAAAGTTGGCATCTACACTGTCTATACATAAAAAATACAAAGAAAATAAATTCAATTTGTAATGCTTTGTTGTCATAAATATTGTAGAGCTGAATGATATTGCAAAAAATTACATTGCAGTATTTTTGCTTTTTTGCCATATATACTGTGATATGAAATCTTTCAAAAGATTGCTTGAATAACTTGATTCATTATCTTAGAATGGTTGCAGTGATTTTGTGGTATAGTGAATCTGCATAACATATAATAAACTAGATAAATTGGGAAATCTGAACACTTTACAGTCTGTACTATACAAATGAAATGCAATTTATCTTAGGTAAAGCTAAAAAGGCTCTTGTTTCTGGCCCCTGAATTCTTTAAATTACTTGTCTACATAGTAACAGAAGAAAATGTGTAAACTTTGCAGTTAATCTACAAATTACATGCATTAAATTGCGGATGTGCACATTGCCTTGCCAAAGCTAAAATTATACATTGTGCAGATAGATCCTATATTTTTGGTTTAAGGGAAATCTCATGCAAGTGTATTTTTCTTTAGTGAGGAAGAAGCCAAACTAGGTGCTCGACGGTTGGCCCGCTGTCTACAGAAGATGGGATTTAAGGTGTCAAAAACTACCAGATAATTTCATAAACTGCATTGTAGAGCTTCTAAATGACATGCAAATGGTGTTTTCCCATTTGCAGGTGAGGTTCTCGGATTTTAAGGTTGTCAATGTGCTGGCAGTGTGCTCCATGCCTTTTCAGATCCGTCTCATTGAGTTCACTAAGAACAACCGGCCCATTGCCAGGTAAGTCATTATATTTTCTTTCACAACTACATCTTACATTTTCTGCCTACCATGCTTTTTAATAATTAGATTACTAATAGTTAGATGCAACATTTTGTGACCATTAAAATTTGGTGTGAAAATTGGTTCATATTAAAAATATATAGCATTTAACAGAACTCTGACGTATATTAAGTTAAGTGATGTTGATATCGGAGACCTTCCTCGCAATGAAATTCAGTCACAAGTGGTCACAGGAGACACATTTGAAATGCATGTTAATACCAGCTGTGAACAGTAATGTGTCTCGCATGGCCACTTATGATTGGATTGTAAGAGATGAACTGTAACCACCAGCTCCTCAGGAACCATAAGAGGCTAAAAAAAGGGGAACAGTGCTCTCTAGTGGTGAAATGGCTTGTGTGGCATTAAGCAATCTTGCAACATGTTCTTCTATAGCGGACAAACATGATGTTTGTGTTGTGTATTTTTAGCTACGAGCCCGAGCTTCATCCTGCTGCGTCATACAGAATCAAAAACCTCAGGAGTACAGTGCAGGTGTTTTCCACAGGCAATATCACTGTTACAGGTAAAACACTCGCTGTCATTTCCAGCTATCATAATCAGGGTTTGTAAGGCTCATACAGATTACTGCATTAGCCACATACTTTAAAGAATTATTCCTTGATTCGCTGCATTACATTCAAGGCAACCCACAGAAATCGAGTAGCTCTGGAGTACTGAGGAAAAGTCACTTGTAATTGTTTCCAAGTGTTTTATATGTACATTAAACATTTGCATATCTATATATGAAGACTACAGATGCAAAAGTGCCATCTGGAATTTTCTTCTACAATAAACATTTTTTTCAGCGTCTAATGTTTATGTTCAGTTATTCCATGTTAAAAGCAATGAAAATAACCTATTCTTTGCCATAAAAGTGAAATCACTGAATCAAGACATAGGAACCCGAGAGGCTAAATTTAGAAGAAATTTCACATGGCATTTAGAGGTTTTTGCATCTGAACCCTTCGTCTCTTTAGCTCATCCTGAAAGAGTAATTTTTTTTAAATTGGCTTTTTAAAATTATTTTTATTTAGATTATTTTGTGTTAAGTTATTATATATTTTAGAGTTTGTTCTATTTTTGTCTGCATGAAAACATTTATACACCAATGTATGGGTTACATTTTTGTCTACAATTGAATCATGCAAAATTGATTTTACATACATAGACCGCAGATTGTTAAATGCATATTTGAATAATGAATGTGATATATGGGCGAAAGGGTTTTATCATCATTTGAATTTCTATATCTATATCCACTAATACAGTATATTGTTTAAGCATCGATATCGCAATGTATGCATCCGAAATAGTCACATCGCAAGATATGCAATGATAAGGTTGAATTATAGTTAACCAGGAGGCACAGAATTGTATTTATTCACTGTATGGATACTAAATATATACTATTTATGCAAAATTCTCACTTAGTTCTTCTTGTTTCTTGTCCAAATATCTATATTTAAAAAGCAATAACAATATTATTTTTCCTACCCCACTGGCAGATCATTTTACTTAATTTTAACTTATATATTCTGTTGAAAACAAAACAATATTTTTACTTGATCTAATAACTATCAGATATTTGGACTAGAAACATGATGAACCAAAGGGAAAAAAACATGTTTTGCACTGTGATTATTAAATTTCTTTGCCTAAATACTGTTAGGCTGCCCAGAAGACTGTCAAATAGAGCTATTCAAACTATTTTGTGAAACTGGATTCATGTTGCAATATTGAAGACAAATTAAATATCAGATTTTTCCAATATTGTGCAGCCCGAATTTGAATGGATATATTTATGATTAAATTATTATAAAAACTATGCAACATATATTTTTTGTAGTGAATAATTTTGTACTTATTAAAATATCTAAAATAAGTAATCATATTAAATTATTAAACAAATAACTCATTGAAAAACTATTTTAAAGTAAGGGTATTATATATAAAATAAATGAATAATTAGTATTTTTAACCTCATGTGATCCCTAAATAGATGCTTTTAAGTAAATAAATTATTATTGTTAAATATGCATTACTTTTTTTTTATTGTATATCAACATTATTAGACTAAACAACATTTTAATGGGTGTCTAAAGTAAATCATAGTAAAACCATATAATATTTCTTATACTTTGCTCAGGGATACAAATTATTTAACAGAACATATTCTATTATTTTCTACTTTTTTCTTATAAAAAAGTCAATATAATTAGTTTTGTTTCCAAAAGTTTATTTTTACTTTTTTATTAGAAAAAAAGTGACTGTTGGTTTTAGCAGTGTGTGTTTTAATTTTAATTGTTCAGCATTAATGTTAAATAAATAATCATAGATAGTAGATAGTGTGTGTTTCCTTCAATTGTTTTAAATCAAGTAATGCACCTTTCATTCAGAAATCTCTCACTTGTAACGTGAGCATATTTACTGTACAAAACTTGTCCGTGAACTATAAGGGCAAAAATAAATAAATAAAATAATTGTCCTTAATCGTAATAGAGTTAATATTTTAAGTTAATCGAGATTTAGATTTTAGGCCAAATCACCCAGCCCTATTATTTAATATTGTATAAATAAAAAAAGCATTGCTTCATATTAACCAATACAGTATAATTGTTTATATTTTAGAATTAACTTAATATATTAAAAACAATCACTGGAACACCTGTTTTTGCTCTCTGATGTTTTCTGCATTGTCTTCTGTCCATCGAGTGACAATATTTACATTAACAAATCAAATTCATTTACAGATCCATTTCATTTAACCATTTAGTTTCAGTTGGCTTTTTTTGTAGCTGAACAATAAATCAAACAAACAAAAAACAGCTTATGTTATTGTAGAAATGTTGATCTCTTCTCAGACCGGATGGTGGGACAAATCAAAGGATGCCATGTGCCAACTTTGGCCTGTGAAACTTGGGCATTTCTGTTCTAGCGTAAAAAGTTAAAGCTCTGTTTAAAACTTTTATAGCTTCAATGGTTACCTCGCTGTCTTTGAAATGGAATGAAAAATGCATGTGGTTTATTATTGTATTTAATTATTATTGCTACATATAAGAACTTTATCAAACAGTAAAATGTTGACAAATATATGTTCCGATTTTGACCGACTGTTATTCAGAGCTTGTTTTATTGTGTAACAAAGAAAAGCTTAACTCAAATTGAATCTTATTATTAATGAGCCCCTTTTCCTCTCTCTAGGACCAAATGTACAGAGTGTGGCGTCTGCCGTGGAGGAGATTTATCCTCTGCTGTTTGAGTGTCGGAAAACACTGTCATAAACCACACGCACACACGTAGGCACCGGTTTGAAATGAAAAGCACCTTATCATTGAATGTTTTAAGGCTTGTAACTGTTGTACTGTATGTGTCTCCAAGGCAGCTTTTTTGCCATTTCACGTCCAAGCGGGTCTGGGTCGTGTGTTTTCAGAGTCATGCCTTTGAACGTTGACTTTGGTGTTTTCGGACCCCACGACGATTAATGACGACCTCTTAAAGCTCAGAAGAGGACCATTAGTGCATTGACATTGTGTTGCTGACATTGTGTAGTTTATAAACACTTGAATTAACTGTATTATAATGCATGGACACCAAAGTAAAAACTGGCAAGCAGTGACATTTTAAGAATCGCATTTTAATGAAACGTCTTGGAAGTTTTAGGTATGTTAATTCTAGTGACGTCTTTACGGCTCATTTAACGATACTATAAATCAGAAGCGAGAGGTTAAAGGGCAAACAAACACTTCACATTTCAACAGCAGGTGATGCATTTCTGGTTTACGCTGTGGACTGGAACACTCTGGATTGTGGAGGAGTCTTTGGTCCATATGTTTATGTAATATGTGAAAACTTTTGTATTTTATAATAAACAAATAAAATAACCTCTATATTAAGTCATAATTGTCACTTATTTTTGAGCGTCTTTGAAATATACCAACATCCATTTGTAGGTCCCGGGGGTAAACTTGACAAATAAGCAAGGTAAGCAGCCCTGGAGAATTAGGAGGCCAATGCCAAGAAACCAATATTAATCATATAGCTCTTTGATAAATTTTCTGTCATATGTTGTAAAATCTGTCTGATTTTAATGTTATTACTTCTTTTCGAAACCAGGGGCCCCCATTGTGGAACGTTCCTTTGTACTGCACATGCACATTAAAATCGAATCACAAATATGGCTTATTAACTTGCATAGTTTGTGAATTTAATGTATTGAATAGGCATAGTTCACCAAAAAATTATATTTCCTCACCCTCAAGTGGTTCCAAACCTTTGAGTTTTCTTTAGTTTTTACTTTTGAATACAAAAAAAAATATTTTGAAAAATTGTAAAAACCTGTAACCATTGTCTTTCATAGTAGGGAAAACAAATACAGGGTTTCTGCAGGTTTTATCCAGTCAAATTTAAGACCATTAAAAACAAAATTTTAGACTTGTACAAGTTTTTTTCCCCCTTCAGTTTATTACTGGACTTATCATGAGGAATCATGTCATTATTTTTTGTTTTCCTTTTTAATGGGGAATTTGCTGTAAAAATGTCTAATAGCTGTTGTGAATTGTATTCATTCATTCATTTTCTTGTCAGCTTTGTCCCTTTATGAATCCGGGGTCACCACAGCGGAATGAACCGCCTACTTATTCAGCAAGTTTTTACGCAGCAGATGCCCTTCCAGCCGCAATCCATCTCTGGGAAACATCCACACACACACTTTCACACTCATACACTACAGACAATTTAGCCTACCCAAGAACCAGCGACCTTCTTGCAGTGAGGCGACAGCACTACCTACTGTGCTACTGCTTCGCCTGTGAATTGTATCGCCTTGCAATTAAAAAAACAAAAACTTAAATATAAAAATAAGATTTTATTGAGATGGATTGTAAGTGATTGGATGGATATCACCCAATTAAGACATGCTTAAAATGATTTAAGACCTACAACACAATATTTAAGTGAATTTAAGACATGACTTTTTAAGACCCGGCGAACACATTGAAATGCTATGGAAGTCAATGGTTTTAGGTTTGCAACATTTATCTAAATAGTTTCTGTTCAACAGAAGAAACTCAAACAGGCTTGTGACAATGTAATAAGGATGAGTAATGACATTTTCAGTTTTAATTGATAATATCTTTAAATGTTTTCTTTATGAACTGTTATCAAATAGGTTTGGAACGCTTGACGGTTTATAAATTGAAAAATCTGGGCACAAGTAACGTTATTCCGTGGTTTGCACTCGTTTTGCAACATTTATCACATTTTTACTGCTGTTTTTTCAACAACGCCACAAATGAGCGTGGGCCTGATGAGTCCGTGACGCCTCCATTGAAACGAATTGCTTTAAACGCGATTACAAGCTAAGGAAAACAAAGTGGTTTTGATTTATAGGAGCTTCAGGTTTATTTTTTTTGTGAACACTATTTCGAAACTTATACAAATACCAAATTGACGCGTTTTTGCGGCGCGATATCATAGCCTAGCGCAAACTAGCTGCCACAAACACCACAGAAGTACGTTAAACAGATATCTCCCCTTATCAATACAAATAGTTACCAAAAACATAATAAAAAAAGAACCATGTGGAGTTTTTAAGATGAAGAGTAACTTACTGAAATGTTTCGTTTTTCATGTAACGTTAAACATCAAATAGCCGTTTTCAGACACCAAAAGACGTTGAATCAGCTTGTTGTGATCGATGTCACATGATGCTGTCCACCTGAATGGTAATAAAGTATTTAAAAAGCCGCTCACACAGTACAAAATTTACACGATTTACTTAATTTTTTAAGTTCACTTTAACTCAAGTTATATTCAGTTCCACTGACTTAACTTTAAAAAGCTACTTATTAAATGAAGATACTTATTAAACTTGATTTAATAAATAATAGTATTTTGTCATGACTTATAGATAATTTGATTTTATAGAGAAAATCTTTTTTTTTTTACTTTTTTAATTACAACGTTGACCATATAAACCTTATTTATGGACACATTTCTATGGAATCACAGGTTTGGAACAAGTAAAGGGCGAGTAAACGCTGACAGAATGTTCAGTTTGCTTTAACATTAGAAATTGTATTGCATTGTAGAGTGTGATTCATAAATTGGGTCATCACTGATTTACTGGCTTGTAGAGAACCCTGTATAAGTTGAAAATGATAAAACTGATAACATTTCAAATACACATTAAAACAGTTACAAATTAAAATGATATCTTATATATCATATTAATACAACTACCTTAAAATCCATAATCAAGTATTTAATCAGCAATAAAACAGTAATCCCTTGGCAACCACCTTCAAATTAAATTAATTTGAGAGTAACACAAACCCATTCAAATGAGACATAATTGTTTGTGTGTGTGGGTTGGTTTTAGTGGTTTGTGAGGACACAAGATTGTGCAATGGCGTGGCCTCTGTATTACAATGTACAATGGTTTATGAGGACATGCATTGTGTCCTCGTAATGCAAAACTGTTAAAAATCATACTTGATGAGGTTTTCGCATTCATAATTTGAGGGTTGGATTTAGGTGTACTGTAAGTCCAAATAGTGTTTTTACAGTATAAAATACATTATGACTATGAAAAGTCCACATAAATCATCAAAACCAGTGTTCACTTCATGACAAGTTCCTTTGAAATCTGTTCCAGCGATCCACATATTTGTGTGTAATAGTGTGTGTGTATTGGGTTTAGTGGGTTGTGAGGACACAAATTTGTCAATGACATGGGTACGGCCTCTGTATATAAATTTGCAATGGTTCATCCCTTAATATTTCTTTGGAATCACCTAAATATTTCTATAAAATGACTTCAATAAATGAAACAAAGTACACTTTCTCTGGTCAAAACCATTCGGACAACTTTTATGAACAACCAACAATATAATTTTGAAATATTACATAACATGTTGATTCACAATTGTGTAACATGATTATACAAGGCATCTCATGCCATACTTTAAACTGTTATTTATGGTAATGTTCAGCACACAAACACTGATATGTGACTTTGCCACAGAACTTGCCTTGGACATGCCATGGCATGATTATGCTAATGATTGCACAGTTTCCTTCCAGAGTTTCATAACAGTGAGTAGTAAAAGCTCCATATAAATCCAGAATTACTTAAAATACATGAAGAATACAATGAATCAGATTGGCATGTTACATTTTTCTTAAATGGGGAAAGCACAACATAAATCAGGCAGATATCTTCAATTCTCTGATTGGTGCAGTCACAGGTTCAGCTGTCTGATCAGTTGCTCTTTCACTCTTCATCTAGGTAAAAAGTCAAACTGTTGCGAGGGCTTTTTCCTCCTGTGAGGGCTGTGCTGTAGCTTTGTGTTTTCTTCTGTGACACAGCAATGTGCCTCTCAGGTGATTCCTGCAAAACAAGACACGTGTCTCATGGTTGCACTTTAGAACAAAACTCCCTGATGCATGCAGTGTAGTAGGGCAAGAGCCAAGCATTGTAAAACATCGTGTTTTTGGGTTTTGTCTCAGATTCAGATAGTATGGGCTTTATCTGTTTTGCAGAACAGGTTGCAGGAAAAAAATGCTGGTTGACTCTGGATCTTCAAGTTTCTGCATCTAGGCATAATGTACATCTATGGGACTTTTAGTTACTTAAATTGCACTAAATACCTTTTTTTTAACTTACTGTTTAGTTCAAGTTCATTTTATTTACATAGCACATTTACAAAAGCCACCAGACTGACCAAAATGTTTTACAAAGCAGTGCAAGTTTAATAGAGATATCAAAAGAAAATTAAATGCAAAATGTAAAAACAAACACAAAATTTGGAATAATTAATCCGGAATCGGAAGAATATGCCATAGTGTCCCTCAGGGGTCAGTCTTTGGTCCCATACTTTTTAGCATTTATATGCTTCCACTGGGGCATATCATGTGGACTGGGATACCACTTTTATGCTGATGATACCCTAATTTATATCAGCTCCAAATCCAATTTGTCTTAATTCTCTCAGAGTGTGTGCAAGAAATTAAAATGTTGAGGCACAGAAATTTTCTAAGATTGAATTGTTCTAAATTAGAGGTACTCTTTATTTCCACAGCAGCAGCTACTGTCAAAGATAGCAAGTTAAATTGAATTTGGATAATGCTGTCGTCTGTCCATCTACCAAAACATGTAACCTTGGTGTGATTTTTGACACTCATCTGTTCTTAGACTCGCACATCAAGAGCATTGCAAAATCTGCTCATCATCATCTGAGGAATATTGCAAAAACAAAGTCTTCCCTTACTCAACCTGATGCTGAAAGACTCATTCATGCATTTATCACTTTCAGGATTGACCATTGTAATGCAGTCTTTGTTGGTTTACCTGATAAATTAATCAAATTGCGGTACATTCAAAACTCAGCAGCAGGCATTCTTATACACACTCCACCACGGCAGCACATCACTGGTGTGCTTTATAGCTTGCATTCTCTCTCAGTTCAGTCCCAGATCATTTTTAAAACACTCACACTTGCATATTAAGCTCTACACACAGCTCCTTCCTACATCTGTGACATTGCCTCTTAGTACACACCTTCTCATTCCCTGTGGTGTCCTGCAGAGTTTAGCTCCAACTTGCTTCAACACACCTGCCAGGAAGTTCCTAGTATACCTAGTAAGAGCTTGATTAGCTGGTTTAGGTGTGTTTGATTAGGGTTAGAGCCATACCCTCCAGGACACCGGCCCTCCAGGACCGAGTTAGGACACCCCTGCTGTAGATTAAAATCAAATGGGGGAGACAGCCTTCTCTGTTGCTGCACCCAGGTTATGGAATGCTGTCCCTTATTCTGTAAGAAATGCTTCCACACTAGCTAGTTTTAAGAAGATGCTAAAAACTCCTCTTTTTAAGACTGTATTCTTAGATTCTTGATTATTCTGATGTGTTTATATTTTAGATTTATTTTTCATGTATACTTGTATTTTATTGCATGTTTGATTTCTCTGTTTTAAGTAGCGCTTTGGGTTCTAGAAAAGTGGATTATAAATGAAATGTATTATTGAATTGATTAAATTTATTAAAATTAGTAGGCTCATAACATAAAGAAAATATGTTATAATGTTTTTAATATACTTAAAGAGAAATTTAGCAATCAACAACTTCAAAACTGCGATTGTACCAAAGTAGTGTGCATCTTACCAAAGACTATAAAAAAAGAGCTTAGAATCACCAAGAGGCGACACTCTAGTGCATTTGGGAAACAGCCAGTAAATGTCGCGGCGGCCATTTTGAAATGAAAATTCCAATAGAACAACAGCATATTATAAGTCTGTAAAATAAACTATAAAAAGTGCTGATGATTGTCATAGTAAGTGTTGTATTGTCGTCTTTCAGGTTGTATCTCAGCTTTAATGCGCTTTTTAAATAATTAAATAAAAAACAAAGCAGCTGCTTGACATTGCGATAGCAATGAGATCCAATGGACAGCCAATCGCTTTCACTCTAAAATGACGGAATCACGAATAGCATGTCCGAATTCATAGAATTCGAAAATCAGTATGCGAGAGGTACCCAGATGACTTACTACTTCCAGCGAGATTCTGAAGTGTGCATCCCATGTACGATGCGCTATCCCATGATGCCCCGAGAGAGAATTCATGAATGGGAGTGAAGCGACGCAACTGACTAGGGCACGTGATTATGACAAAATGGCGAATGTAGTACGTCTGAATTCCATTAATACTTTTCACATTTATACTGTATAGAACGTACTTCTCTAACAGCCGAGTAGTATGTTTAAATTCAAACGCAGTCCCTACTGAGAAGTAGGTGGTTTCGGACGCAGCTTTGGTCATTCCAAGCTCTTTGCTATAGAATACACAAGACATGTCACTCTTATACTTTTGAATGGGGAAAAGTATTACTGTCATGATGTTGATTGAAGCCCCGCCTTCTAGTACAAGAGCCAATCAGTGTTTGCTATAGAATGACAACTCTCAAGGAAGGGGCTTGGACCAGACATGAGTTTCTGCAGATTTTGTGTGATATGAACATTTAGAAATTAAACTAAATAGACAGTTGTTGTTTAATCATATTGGTTATTCGTAATGTGTGATGTAATCGTAAGCTTGGCAAGTAGTTTTGGAGATATTGATGTCTCCCCATTTAGACAGAATGCCCAAGCATACTGCACGAGAGGCATTTCAAAGATTGCTGCCGAGTGAAATGACTTGCCTTAAAGGAACTTTGATCTTACTGATTCATTTCACACATAATCTGTCATTTATATTAATACTAAAACTATTAAAAGACCGGCTAAATAGTCTGTCAGAAGTATGTCTCATTCAACTTGTTATGCAGCTAGAAATCTATATCAAAACAAAACATTTAAACTATACTGAAGTGCCGAAGAAAACTCACCATATTTTTGAAAAACCATACTAGTTTTTGAGGAGAACAAGTTATCTCTGCATGTCATTATATAAAAAAACAGTTTGCCCTTCTGATGTTTAATTGAAATCTGAAAATGCACTTCCTGTTTTTTATTTTTTACTGTCAAAATTAAGTATATCTTAGGAATTAGGCATGGCTAGCATATTTAACCATACCCCTCCAACTGTCAGTTTTGACAACAAACAGAAATGTTTAGCAGGAGGTGTCTGTTAGGTTGTAAATTAATAACTCTCCTCAAACTCTTTCCCCGATCTTTCTGAATTAAATGCCTACTTCACTACATTCATTCAGCTCGCAGTACAAAAAAAAACAAGCCACGCCCACTGTTTACTCATTTAATAATCCGTTTCTTTAGGAACTGCATCACAATACAAAAAAAATAATGGTCGCAGCTTCCTGTTCATGGGGACTTTAAACTGCAGTCTACTAAAGACAGTAGCAAAAGTGCATTTCCAAGTGGCCTGTTTTCTACAAACACATAACCAACCATATCATCTCCACTGACTTTTATGATGTTCAAAGGGTTTGATGTGGTTGTATGAACAAGAACATTGTGTAACATTCGCACGCACTTATTATTAGCGTTTAATAACATAATCTTGCCAAAGTCTATACCTATTACAGAGATAGTTCACCTGAAACTGAACATGTACTCACCCTCAAGTGTATCCAAACATTCACGAGTTTCTTTCTTCTGTTAAACATTAAAGAAGATATTTTGAAGAAAGCTGGAAACCGGTAACCCCTGACTTCCATAGTATTCATTTTTCCTTCTATGGAGGTCAATAGTTACAGGATTCCAGTTTTTTTTTATCAAAATATTTTGTGTTCAACAGAAGATAGTAAAACAGGTTTGGAACAAGTAAAGGGTGGGTAAATGATGACAGAATATAAATTTTTACTGATACACTGGCTTGTAGACATCCCTGCATATGTTTTTTTTAAATGATATAACTGGTAACATTTTACATACACATTAAAACATTTACAAATTAAATCATATATTAATTTATTATATTAATAAAACAACCTTAAATTCTATATTTTAATATTTAATCAGCAATAATAACAGTGATTCCTTGGCAAACACCTTACATTAAACTACATTAGTTTGTTTTGAGAACAATGCAAACCCATTCAAAAGAGACATATTTGTGTGTGTGATAATGTGTGTATTGGTTTTAGTGGTTTGTGAGGACACAAATTTGTACAATAAATTGTATGGCCATGGTATTACAATGTAAGATGGTTTATTATGGTTTATGATGGTTTATAACTGTTAAAAATCATACTTAATGGGGTATTTTTACATTCGACATTACATAATTTAAGGGTTGGGTTTAGGGGTAGGTTGAGGCCATATAATAAGCGTTTTTACAGTTAAAAATTCATTACGCCTTTGGAGAGTCCTCATAAACCGCAAAAAAAACAGTCTGTGTGTTCACTCACTTCATGGCAAGTTCCTTTGAGATCTGTTCTAACAATCAACATATTTGTGTGTATGTAATAGAGAGTGTGTGTGTTGGTTTTAGTGGTTTGTGAAGACACACATTTGTGCAATGACATTGGTATGTCCTCTGTATTACAATTTACAATGTTTATGAGGACATCCCTTGTATCCTCCTAATGCAAAACTGTTAAAAATCCTACTTAATGGGGTGTTTTCGCATTAATAATTTGAGGGTTAGGTAGGGTAAGGCCATCTAATAAGTGTTTTTGCAGTATAAAATACTTACGCCTCTGTAGAGTCCTTATACACCACCAAAACCAATGTGTGTGTTTATGTCCACTCACTTCATTGCAAGTTCCTTTGAGATCTGTTCCAATGATCGGCCTTTGGTCTCTGGCACAAACACAATCACAAACACCACCAACAGGAAGCTCATAGCAGAGTAGGAGAAGATGACAGTAGGGAGGCCGATCCGCTCTACAAGCACATCACATTACAGTAAATCACCTTACAATATAGCACTCCTTTCTGCAGCCAAAACTATTTTTTGTTTATTGTTCTGTGCAAAAACTTGTAAGTATGTGTTTCCTTGTGTTTTCATTCCTTCTCTGCAGGATCATCCCCACAGGTGGCAAATTAATGTTTGGCGGACAGCCTTTAAACACACACTGCAAACTTAATCTTTACTTGGTGATCCGTTTCTGGGAATATAACTTTGTTTCTAACGTATTGTATTGCTTCTATGTCTATTTCGTTTTTTTTATTTATTGATGAAGTTAAGAATGACCAAAAGCTATTGTTCCATTGCCATAAAAGTGGTTATATAAAAGTGGTTATATATTTTTGTAATATTATATGTTATGTAACATTAATATTATGTAAGAAAAGTCATAAATACATGTATTTTTTTTTGTTGTTGTTGTTGCCATATTCAACATTACACAATACATCCCAGTTTGAACATATTTGATTTATATAATGTTGTCTAGTCATCATGCTGGGTTCAATTCTAACATTAATAATTGATCTACTGTTTTTGCCAGAATAGTAACTCGGATCAAAACAAGTTACGCACACTTTTTTCCTTGTTAGTTAATGATCGATGGTCAAATTAACTTTGCTCTTGTGTAACTCCTAAAGGGCCACTATGGTGCGTGTCAGACTCCATTTAGGATTTTAAACACATTCATGTCTGCACCCCAAACAGTAAGCGACAGGTTACACAATAATGTTTTGGTAGGCCTTCTCAAAAATCAAAAATAATAAATGTGGTTAGGGGACTTTTTCTAGAAAAGTTGAAACCTATTTAGTTTTTTTTTGTGATTCATTAAATAGAAAACAAACAAAAAATATATTAATTAGGACCACAGTTTTCAGCAACAAATCTTATTTTGATGAAGTCATCAACATCCTAAATGGCCTGAAGATGAGTAAATTAACAACCAATTTTCATTTTTGGGGTCAACTTTTCTGTCCAGGTGAGCAGAGATAAGAAGTAACATTACTGTACTTAAGTCAATTTTTTTAGGTATCAGTACTTTTTATATTTCTGACTTTTACTCATTACATATGCTTTACACTGTGGATGCACTTCCAGCTGCAACCCAGTACTGGGAAACACACATACACTATGGACAAATAATTAGGGATGCACCAATACCATTAGTTTGGAACCAATCCGATCTCAATACCAAAATTCTGAGTATTAATCGATACAGAACCGATCCTGATACTGTGCTTTTTTCTTTTTCTAAGAATAATACAGTTTCTATAGCTCTGGAATTACTCAAATAATATATCTTCTTTAGTAAAAAATAACAGACCTATAGGCCTATATATGAGAGACGGCACAATCTAACTAAAACAATGATGCTTGCTGGCTACATTATTTGAGCATACGTTATGACACTGATCTGTTGTGGTCCAGCTTATGTTTCCTCATGTTTTTTTTTAATTTGCAATAGACAACCATTATTCACACCAAATGCTGGTGAAATGAACAGCCTTTTATCAAAGCCTGATATTTTTCTGCAGGTTTGATGCAGACTAAACTAAGCTGTCTGAGGCCAGTTTTACTCAAAATCCCTCGCCAAATCTTGCCTTGATGAGACGGAGAAAGTTCAAAACAAGGTCGCCTTATATGCTTCAGCGCCAAAACAAAAACTGGTCTGTCAAATAAATTATTAATAGAAATAAAATTACAGTAAAACATTCAGTTTCAGAGTAGCCTATATTGGGCTAAATAGTTTTCTGTTAATGTCAATCCACATGCGCCTGTCAGTTTCACTTTTATTAATTTAATCAACTACTTTGACTACAATGAGCCAGGCTTACAAACTATTCGCAGCACAGAAAGTATTCCCCTCGGAGGAATAAACTCAGTCGGAAGGATGAGAGAACAGAAACTCATTGTGTGAATAATCTTACAGAGTTATGAAGCTTAGTAAATGAAGCTCTTCATGCATCGGAGACACGCTGCGCAGCCCATCAGTATCTGCGGACACTACCAAAACAGCAGCTCAAAGGGAAGAAATACTTGCTTTGAGGATCTGTCTAATATGTATTACTAAGCCTTTTCTAAATAAACATTTCAGGTAGGCCTACTTTGTTTGTGAAGAGCAGGTAATAACCCTCTCTACTCCAGTGTTACGAATGCGATCTGCTGATCTAACAGACACATTGCAACATGATTTAGAAAAAGCAATGAACTCCTTGTTTCAGGTCAAAATAAACCCATTTAATGCTAAACTAGATCAATTTCTCCACTAATTATTTAAACTAACAGGAAAAAATAGTCTTGGAGAAAGTTTTTCGTGTTGTCATGAATGTGGCACGCAGCTGAATGAATGAAGAATGATTGACAGGTGCAGCGGCGGGAAGCGCTGAAGTGAACATGAGTTTAAGCTCGGAATATTCATCTGTGCTTCACATTAAACTAGAGAATGGCTTCAGAATATTTGAGATATAGTAGGCCTACATGACAACTTTCTAGTTTCCTTTAATAGGCTACCTTCATGGCTTAGTTGGCTTATAAACACAGAATATAGTGCACACGCAAGATCGGATTTGGATCAGTACCAGCTGTCCGATACCCGGTCCAGCAAAAATATGCGGTATCAAAGCGATATCCGATCTAAATATCGGTATTGGTGCATCTCTACAATTTAGTTTATTCGATTCACCGATATCACATGTCTTTGGTCTGTGGAGGATACGGGGGCACCCGGAGGAAACCCAAGCGAACACAGGCAGAACATGCAAAATCCAAACAGAACCAAAAACACCTCCAACACAATAAACAGGAGCTGTTTGACCCCATTAAAACAACAAATTATCCACTCGTCTTAACACAGACAGCCTAAGTCTTCGTGGTTTTATCGGCTGACCTTCAGAAGCCAGATACTGATAAATACTGTAGCCTGCAATACAACTGAATCAGGATGATCTACTAATCTCATAACTGTAAATAAGCTCTCTCTATCTGTGTATGTGTGTGTATTACCTGTCAGGGTAAGGAAGGTCATCGATATGAGCAAATTTGTGGCCCAGTTAAAGGCGGAGATGACAGATACAGCCTTCCCCCGGATGCCAGTAGGAAAGATTGCACTTAAAACAACATGAACCACTAAAAAAAGACAGAGAATTGAACAAAGCAACTTATTAAAATTATAATACACATACAAAAGTTAAATATGTCAAGTTGTTTCTGATAGAACAAACCATGTTTTTTTTGTTTGTTTAAAATAGAGAAGCCCAAACCAGAGCCCGTGAGCCAAAGTTGGCACATGGTAAGCTTTGATTTATTACATCAGAGAAGAGAGGGAGAATTTTGGGGAAGGTTGGTGTTGATAACTTTAATGCACATTGTCATTTCTAACATAACCTAACCTTTAATTTGTTTTAATTTAAGCTACAAAAAACTCACTTTGATTAAATGTTTTAATTACATGTCATATATTATTATTATTATTTTTTTTTTGTAATGAACATCCTGTTGCTCAGCAGATACACCACAACTCAAAAACCCTCAGTGAGCAAATCAAGGCAAAGAGAGGTGCAGCTTGACTAGTGTATTCGGCATTAAACTCCATTCTGTTATTGACCTTATTCTAAAATGGGGAAGTGCGTCTGTTTTCGCGATTGTCTTAGAACTTCCGATTCAGTCGCCTATGGGAGAAATGACTAGGAATAATAAACGACAGAAAACGGTCAAACTACTTGCTCTAAAAACAAATGTTTGCATGACTATACAGACCAAGTAGAATAATATAACAAGAAAATATCAAATTGCAACATCAAGCAGCGTAACGAGCAGTTTTTAATGTCTAAAAATGAATGGAAGTGAATGAGACCCGGAAGTCTCAAGCCAAAAAGATTCAAATGGCAGCGCCCACTCGTCTGCAGAGAATAAGGTCAATAAATGGAATTCCTAAATTTTAACTAAAATAGGTTCATTGTAAAGTTACTTAATCTGATTAAAGTCTTGATGTAAAGCTTGATGTATTTACCTTCAGCTCACAGCTCTCATTCAAGTTTGGTATTTGGCCTTTCATAACAAAGTTTGGGCACCCCTGGTTTAAATGTAATGTAATGAAAGTGAACGGTGTCTGTGAAGCTCTTGTGAAGAATGGGAGTTGTAAAGTTCGATAAAATTATTTCTTAGTTGTTTCATTCACAAATTGGGTTAAGTAACTCATTCAATGACTTTCTCTCAACAATTAACAGATGAGAGTAATGGTCCATTTTATGAAAGCCTTTTAAGGCTAAACGTTGTACTTTGTTGATCTCAATTATGTGTTTGTTTACAAATCAGAATACTTATGATTCATTCATTCGTTATCTTTTCGGCTTAGTCCCTATATTAATCTAGAGTCGCCACAGCGGAATGAACCGCCAACTTATTCAGGATGTTTTACGCAGCGGATGCCCTTCCAGCTGCAACCCATCACTGGGAAATAAACTCTCAATATATTTCTCTAAATGATTTGTTCAGCAATATGAGTTTAATTCCTTAGTAAAGGGATAGTTCACACACAACTCAAAATACACACCCTTCACTTGTCCCAAACCTGTTTGGGGAGTTATTCTGTAAAATTAGTCATTCTGAAAAATGTTTACCATTGAAATTGTTTACCATGGTAACCATTGGCATTCATAGTATTTGTTTATCCTATTTTAAACATCAATCATTGGTTACCAGTTTCCAAAATTAAAAATATTTTCTTTTGTGTTCAAGAACTTCATAAAGGTATGTTACAACTTGAAAATGTAAACTGAATAAATATTTATTGTTTGGGTGAGCTATCCATTTAAGGATGATAGTAGTTAAACAAACTCACACTTTACTGAGGCTAATTATACTAAGGATCATTCTGTAAACAGACTGGTTTGTTTTGTGCAAATGCATGCAATATTTTGACCACACAAATTCAACACTCAATGTTTTTTGCGACAGAAGTCAGTTGCTGCATCCCAATTTGCAAACTGTCTGTCCTAAATAGTATTTGAAAAAAGAATTAGTAAGTCCCAAGCCATAGCATGTTAAATAAAGTATGCCAAAGGTTCCTGGATGGTTTACTATGTCTGCTAAACCATAATAAAAGTAGAACCGTCCATATTCCAACTGCTAATATTGCCCACAATACATTGCAAGTTGGATGTGAATTTGATTAGAACTACAAACTCAGATAAAAAGTGTAAATAAACTACAAACATGGCAGGTGTGCATGACAAAACGCCACGTAGATAGGCTTCAGTAAAGCTGCTTGAATGATTATTTGCCAACTGGAAAATATTTAAACCGCGTACTCAGTGTTATATTTCATCTGCAACAACAATGTGAACTTATATAAAGATATGTTTGGACATTAATGCCTGAATGCATAATTATACAAACACCTGGGCAGATTTCTCTGCATGAAAGACTCGCGATTGGAAGATTATCCTGCTGCTGCTTTTCCAATAAAGTAGGAAATTAAATAAGAAAGAAATATGGATGATGTGTCCAGATGGTTGACAAGGGACATAACCAAGCAATATAAAGATCTGTTAACAAAGAAGTAGTGTGTCCCAAAGCTTGCAATATTCTTCTGTTACATACTCAAAACTATATACTTTGCCTTTACAAAAAAATACATCCTTTTAGGGCGTAGTATAAGTATGCGAATTGAAACGCAGCAAGTCAGTCAGAATTTAATTTGTAATATAAACAGATATCATTTGTTTGAGTCTGAATCTTACTTGGTCCCAAGCTGATGGAGAATCCAGCTACATACACCAGCAGGCTGACCAGAGAGATCCATTTCAGCGAAGGCGACACTTCGTGAAGAGACTGAAGCGCAATCTTTGCACTGTCTTTCTTCGAAAGCTCAGCGGTTTCCATTAAAGCAGTCCTATGATTATAGGTGTGATTTAAAATCCAATGCTCTCTAGTGTCATTAATGCTTGTGAGAAAAGTGTTTGTTTTGAGCTTGTTTTGAGGCTGGTATAAGCCCAGTGGAGTGTTGGTCTGGATATCAGTCTCATCTCCGGTCTCAAATAACGTGAAGTTTGCTGTATTACCGGGGCCTCTGCATAGGCTGGAAACGTGTGTGCGGCTCTGCATAGTAATGGCCCCCAGCGTTGCTGTTGACAACATCATGACAACCACTCCAACACACAGAAGGGCTTTAGGCCCAACTTTGTCCACTAGAAAAATTGCAGGAATGGTTCCACCCACTTTAACCACACCAAACCCTGTAGACGCAAGAGTCGCCGCCTCATTCCCATGAAAGCCTACGCTACTGAGAACAGTCGAGGCATATGCTAAAATATTAGGCTGTCCTGTGGCCTGCTGCAAGAACACCAGCGCAGCGCCAACAAGAAGCCTCTGAAGCATGTTGTCCCGGGATTGGAAGAGGTCCAGGAAGCCATGAAGACGCTCTGCGCCCATTGCCAAACGGATCGCCCGGAGCTCATCCTCCACTGGCTCGACTTCTTTGATCCCAGCACGAAGTCGAAGCAGAGTGGCATGAGCTTCCTTTTCGCGCTGCTGGGCGAGCAAAAAGCGTGGACTGTCTGGCAAAAGTGGCATAACCCCAGCTTGCAGTAAAGCGGGAAGCAGCGCGCCACCAAATGTAAACCTCCATCCATCCGGAACCCCAGCGAACGCCCAGCTCAGTCCAAAACCCAACAGCATCCCTAAAACCACCATTAACTCATACACACACACGCACCTCCCGCGCCAGGCGGCTGGTGCCACTTCTGCTGCATACAAACAAGACGCTGTGCCTGACAGCGCCACTGACATCCCAACCAGCATTCTCCCGACCACTAGTGCCCAAAATGACACCACACACACACTCAGAAGAGTTCCCAACACACACAACAGAGCAGTGAGGATGATGGTGAAGCGTCGTCCGTAGTGGTCCAGGATTGTCCCACCACCCAGGGACAGGAGGAAGGCTCCAAGCAGAAGAGAGCCGACGACCTGCTCTTGCTCCGGGCAGGAGAGAGTCAAAACGTCCCTGAGTTGAAGCAAAGCTCCAGATATCAGACTCATCTCGTATCCCATCAGCAAGCCACTCAGGCAGGCCACAGACACAGAGCACAGGACCAGAGCTCTGCCATTGCCTGGAGAAACACACAGAGAGGAGAGAATGATGTTCAACGTTTTTGCCATGAAATACTTTCATTTATATCAAGTAAATAGTGATTATTTTAATACACTGTAAAAACGCCAACTTTCAAAAAGTCCTCTGAACAAAGATTAATAAGTTAACTGAATTTAAATATTTTCATTTGAAATGCTGACAAATAATAGTTAGTTTGTTCAACAAATATGGTGCTTCAATGTGAAAAACTTAAAATATTTCGTTGAACTAATACAAAATTCTTAGTTTTGCGTTGATGCGTGCCCTTCTTGTTGGCGCATGCGCCTTATAAGCTTCTGGCGCATGCGCAATTTACTTCCATAGCTCACTGCAGGGGGTACCTGTCACGTGCGCGCGACAAAACGAACCATCTTTCTTTCTGCGGAGCTACGTGTCAATCGTTTTCATAATCGATTGTATATAATTGTATACATGTTTTTGTGCGATGTGCTACCCATCTGACTGCCCGATCTATTTTACCAGTGTATTAATGATGTGAGAGACCGTGATAGAGCGGTTAAGAGTAGTGGTGGGCAAAGCGAGGCTTCGTGAAACACTGAAACAGTCGAAGCAAATGTGTCGAAGCTTCGAAACGTTTCGAAACCTCACTCTACAGTGACATTTAGTGGTCATTTTTTATATATATTGCACTGAAACAGCTTCAGCAAAGAACGATTGAACAAATTGAGGGATTAAACCCCACTTTGTGAAAGTGGAATCCTTCAAGTAACATAGTACAGTGGTTAAGGTGTCAGACATCCATGCAGGAGTAGTAGGTTTCGAAGCCAGTCAGTAGCAGTTGTTTTAAAATGCTTTAATACCAGTTGGTAATGCTTTGCTCTTGTATCGTTTTGTTTCAACATTGGTCTGATATCCGAATAAACAATTTGTGAATAAATATGTCTTGTTTTTGTCTTAAAACAGGGATGTTGCTAGATCAAAAACGGTGGCCTGAAGTTATCAAGAATTATTTATATTATTCATTAAATTTCCCATTTATTGTATTTTATTAATGTCTACCCCAACCCTAAACCCAACCATACTGTAAAAATATTTATTATTGTTTTACAGTGTTACAAAAATGATGCTAAATTGATGGCGTAACTGTAGCTGTATCCTATTTAGGCTACACAAAACAGAAACATGATTAAAATACATAAAACCATGATTTCGAAGTCGGATTCGAACCCAAAACATCATGCTAAGCATAGAATCAATAAGCAAACCCACAGTGCTCTAAGCCATTTGAGACAGAGATAATTTGGAGACCTTGGCAGTCAAATTAGGATTCACCAGGTCTCGAAACGTTTCTAAGCTGATCGATGCTTTGAATCGCTTTAGTCACGTGACTAGGTGTTTCGAAACACTTTAGTCACGTGACTTGGGTGCTTCGGATCATGCTTCGGTGCAGTGATTCGAAACACTTGCGCTTCGGGATCTCGACACTGTAGCTGCGTCCCAAATGGCACACTATACACTATGCACTCATGCACTATGTACTTATGCACTTACACACTCAACAGGATAGTATATGTATGTAGTGTTGTCCCAAATGGCACACTAATGTTTTTTACTAAACGGAAATTCAAACCGTTTTCCTGATGACGTTTGACGGTTGCCAAATCAGTGAAATAAACGACCGAATTATCAGATAATACCTGCCGTGAGTATTGCCGCATTCACCATCGGGAGACGCTAAAATCACTTTCGTAGGAGAATTTTGCTTTCACCATCCAAAATAAATAAAGTTATTCAACATGTGCGTCTGATAGCTCCGCCCCTTCCGCTACGTAAGCAAATCTGCGGTCGTTGAGTGCGTGAAGTGTCCATCATTACACACTTCATTTTAGCGGCTGAATGAGTGCATCATCCGGGTAATTCAAGTGCTCTTATTATTTTTAGTGTTTTCAGTGTGAACACACTACTTACACTATTTATACTACAAAATGGCGTAGAATAGTGCATAAGTATGCGATTTGGGACGCAGCTTGTGTCAAAACATCAGTTTCACGTCAGCCATCCCTAGTTAAGAGCAGGCCAACGACGTTTCTGCTAAATCATAGGTATGTATGTCTTTTTTTGTTGTCATCTAACGTTATATTATTTGATATGTTGGCTTTGATGTGCGCGTGTATCCTAATACGGAACTATTTGTTATAATTTAGCCGTGAGTTACTTGTTTCGTGCACTTGGTTTTGGCTATTTACATCAATAAAAGTTTAGAGTGAATGTATTTGAAACAAATAGCGATTTCAATCGAGTCATTTGCTTTAATAACTCACGATTAATACAATGAGTATCATATAACATACCAGGTCAGGTATCCAAGTCAAATATAACATTATGTCCTGTTTATCTAGATTGCTGTCAGCATTGCGCACATCATAACCCTTTTTCCCTTCGAACCAGAGCCAGTGGAACAAACGGTGACGTGTTTAACTGTGTAATTTGTGTGAAAATCGTGTGATTTTCATGTAATTCATTGCTTGATTTGTTAGCTCGACTAAATGTCTACCATATTCAGACCAACTTGCTTTAACAGTCAGCTAGCTTTTATTTACATAAAAAATATAAAGGGCTAAATATATATTTTTCTTTCTTTTTGCTCAAAAGGACTGAAATATTGACAATGACATAATTCAATGCAAGATTTCCTTGAGGAGGTGAGACTTGTTATCATCAGTGAAATTTGACGGTCATTCACCAGCAGATGCAAGAAACCTTTTCTCTTTGCCCAAAAGAAGTTGTTGAGATTTAGCCAGGAAGAAATTAGAGAGAGATAACCTGGACTTTAAGGAAGAGGTAAGTCACTATATTGCAATTGCTTTGGTTTCATTCAAGGTAGTAATGATAATGCTAAAAATAACAAACAACATTATTATTATAGGTAATTCAAAATACATCTGTATTCAGCATTTGAACATTTAAATATTTACATTTATATATATATATATATATATATATATTATGTGTAAAAATTAATATGTATGTTTTTTTTGTATATTGTAGATCTGCACAGAGTTTTCTCAGATCTGTAATGTAGATCTCCTGAGACAGTTAATCGAGTGACTTGATAAATATACAGCACCTCTCCTGAAACTCTACAGAAAAGAAGGGATTCAATGGGTCCAGAGATGGATACAACTTTAAACAAGATGGATGAGCAGGTACTCATTAAGATTTTTTTTTTCTTATACACCCGTCTGATGTTTTTAACATGTGCAACATATTTTGTCCTGTCAAGAATTTCATGCTCAGGTAATACAGTCCAATAAAACGTAATTGCAACAATTTAATTGTCCAGCCCTTTTGCATTAATTTTAATTGTGTCAAGTTGTGTTTTGATTGTGAGATGGAAGTAAGATAAATAACAGATGTTTCACTTGTTTTGAGTGACCATTTCAAATGAATACATTCAAAGAGGAAAATAGAAAATAATAGCTGTAGTTTTTAACTCAAAGTAATTGTCACATGAAACTAAACATTTTTCTAAATTTGCCAACACAACCATTATCAAATTCCATTGTATGGAAACCACAAAATTCTTTTATAAAAATAAAGCCATGTGTTTTTTCAACAGCATGAATAAAATACTATGCTCATTTAAATGTACTAAGTACATTTTTACTTACAAAACAATAAGATTGTAAAACACCCTTTGTAAATGACTTTCCTTTAGGTCACTGATATTGTCACCGATCGAGAAAGAGCAGCTCTTGAGGGATTGCCAATTTTTCTTCGTAAAAATTCTGCTTGCTTTCTCAAGATATGTCTGGTAAGTTACCCATTTTCATACCCTATTCTACATTTATTAGTCTGCTTGGTAACACTTTTAATAGCTGCACGCTATAAATAATTTATTTAGTATTAGCGAATAGTTAATTTATTTTCTGTTAAGCATAACTCTACATGAAGTGCTCAATGATTGTATTTTTTTTAACTTTAATGATTCATTTGTATTACTAATTTAAGTATTGCATTATTTACAAACCAGTTATTTAAGAATACTTGGTGTTTTTAAGATCATTCAGAATGCTTAAGTACACGATTAATAAACTATTCAAATTAACATTTAAATATCCTAATATTAAGGTATGTAATAATAGTTACTTTGTATGTTAGTATATGCTTTATGAGCTTAACTTCATCCAGTTGTGACCTAATCTAAAGTGAGGACTATTTATGCTTTATAAATCCCTTATGAATGACAATTAAAGGCTCAGTTATATTCTAAACAGGACAATAAACAACTTTCACAATTGAAACTGTATCAAATAAAAGTAAATCTTTGCAATTTTATGTAAAATAAAAGTTTAAAAAATTGCTAAATATTAAAAAGTTGTCAATATATTGTTCAATTATTATATATTATAGACTATTCAAAGTGTTACTGTTTGTATGTACGAAAGTATTACATGTTTTTATTTTCTTTGCATAATAGTAATAACATTAATAAGTAGTAATTAATATTACACATCAATTAATTTTCCCATTACTTAATCTCCTATAAGGACACGGACCCTGAAGACCACAGCACCAGAGATTAAAGGATTGGAATCTTCACTGTGGTGGAAGATGATAATGGCACTTCTGCATCCCTGCAATATGTGATGAACCTCGCTAAAATCTTGGAGGAGGCCATAGTACTTCAGGATATCACACATCTGCCTGCAGCCTTCGCTTACTTGTTCAGCCTCTTGTATAGACTGAATATGGAACACCCAAAAGAACTCAAATATACTTTTTAAGTGATTCAGCATGTTTTATGGAGGTTGGTGGCACATGATCTGCGAGAGTTCAGTTCATTCATTCATTCATTTTCTTTTCGGCTTAGTCCCTTTATTAATCTGGGGTCGCCACAGCGCAATGAACTTGTTTTACGCAGCGTATGCCCTTCCGGCTGCAACCCATCTCTGGAAAACATCCATACACACTCATTCACACATACACTACGGACAATTTTAGCCTACCCAATTCACC